AGCTGGAGGAAGGAAGAACTGCATGGAGTTTCTTCACGGTACTACAACTTTGGAGAACAATTTACTTCAATTAAGAAGCACTGTGTCAGTGCCACTTACACGTGATATTAAATTCTATTGAAAAGGTAACCTACAATGAATTCCGGAAGGTTATTGATGGTATCTCTCTTCTGCCGTTTCTTTGGCTGAGGCTGTACTTCTGGTGGCTCACAATATAAGTCCGTTTCAGTTAGTGTTTTTATGTTGCAGGGTTCGTCACCCACAAAAGCCTGGGCCTCGTCTATCGTCATGGCTTTGTTCAGGTTACTGCCCTAGACAGAAAATACAAGGCTAAGTCACCATCGCAAAGTCTTGGGAGGTAAGAAGTGCTGAGTTGCAACTTTCCATCTGGATCATTTTTAGCAGCAGATGTGATTTGCACTGCAGTGTGCAGAAGAGCAGAGTGGTTGGGAATCATGCAATTCCTCTCCTGTCCTTCCTGGTGAGAGAAGAGATGCTCCCTCCTGTCCTTGGGAGCTCTATGGAAGAGGGCATTTCCAAATGCCAGGCTCAGCAGGAGGGGTCACCCCTGGGAAACCCAAAGTATGGCTAGAAAGATAGCAACTATCTCTGAGAAGGGGAGTGGGGACGAAAGGGGAGCTGACAATGTTCATCACTAAGCAGAGGTAAGAGACTCTATCAAGCATTTTGGGTATGGTACCAAACAGCTGCTCAGGGTTTGAGAAAGGAAGGAAGAATGCCATACTTCAAGGACAAAATGAGCAACCACCATCTCTGGACAAGTTTACCTTTGCATTAATAAGTTTGTTGACTTGTTGTTTGATGCCATTTGTGAAGTTTTCAAAAGTTGGGTCTGCAACATAGGCAAAGGAGTGGCTCTCATTTTTTACAACCAAACGGTGATGATCCATTAAAATAATAGTGGTGACATTATAGTTCTCTGGGTCTTCTAGTATTGGTGGGGAAGAAAAAACCACCGTGGTTTCATTCAGTCTTTTAACATGCTTTCCGTCAAACTGTAAGAAACAAAACAAGAACAACATGCACATTTTAGAGTTTGACTCATTCCTGTGCATAACTGTTGTTAGCGTTAGTCTGTAGAAATAAACCCACTGGATTTATATCCTCTCCATACACCAGAAATAACATAGTATGAGGTATTTTCCAAAAAGAAAATGAAACATATTTGTTGATGGGAATAAATTGTTGATTCATTATGTTCTAGCAGCTGCCTGCAGAAAAAGCTTAGGCTACAGGTTGGTTTCCATTGCCTCTAAATCCTATGGTTCTGGATCACATTGGGCTGATATCATTAAATTGCTCAAAGATTAAGAGGTTAACATGACAGCTTTAATCCAGATCACCTTCTGTACCATTAAGTATCTCAGGTAGATTCTTTTCTATTGACACGATAAAATACCTCACTGAAATTCAATACAATTACTAAGTTAAATTTTGGAATAAAATTTACCAATTGTGAATCAACTACTCAGGGTGACAATGCAGTTAACCTGACCTCCGTCCCCAATTACACAATGTTTTTATCCTAGAAACTCCTTCAGTCACTCAGTAACATCAACCACAGCCAGTAACACCAATAGGAATCCTCAACATTTTTCTATCACCACCTCAGTTTCTCACTTTGCGAAATGTAATTTATTAGCTTCTCCTCCACATTTCAGATAGTGCCGTATAAGTGGAAGCAAAACAAAAGATTAGAAAAGTTTCTGGACTTAACCAAGACTGTGTGCTACACGTAATGCCGACTTAAGCTAACGTGTTGAGAAGATGCTGAGCATACATAAGGAGGGAGGTAAGAAATGTTGATAAACACTGTCAAGAATGCTCAATAGACTTTAAGATTATCCTGGGAGTTAAGGTTATCAAGGTAATTATGTTTGCAGTTTATGGTCTAAGATATGTAGGCAGTTTTCCTCTTAAAATTTTTTAAGGATAGGGTTCTGATGGACCGAAATCCAGCTGGCTTTGGCATACTCTAAAAGCTGAATCATGCAATTAATACAAAACATGCACATTACCAACTCTATATGGATCACAAGACAGTCTTAAATTGAAGAGCCAGCCTTAGAAAAAGTCTTACAACGCTCTTATCTGGATCTGAAAGATCACTTTTATGCCCTCAATCATTGCATTAAATTGTGATCTTCATTAGAAGTGTGGGAAATTGAGACTATGGGTAATGTCAGTTCTTTTTAACATGAGATGCAAGAAAGGTTCATTTTTTTATGTTCTTTTTCACAACTTTTTGTGAACATGCTATACGTGGAATATGCATGAAGCAAGAAAGAAAAGACGACTCGGTTCATTGAGGTGTGAGAAAATAAAAGGCACTGACTGTGCAAAGCTGAGTACTTAGCATTGTCTGGATTTGGGTCCTGTTTCAGGCAAATCTCTAAAGCTTGCAGGGAGAGAAGGAAAAAGATAAAGAAAAAATAAACACTTCCAAAGTCTGAAATTCATCCACTTTACTACTCAAGCTTAATTCTTCTATCCTTATTCATGTTGAATGAAAATAATTTCAAAGCAGAAGATTGCAAGGTACAAGTGAATGTATGTTAAGATAGTAGAATTAGGCTCCTTTTCCACAGAAGCCCTCAACAGACCCAGAAATCTGTTCAAACCTTATTCCACTTCAAGCCCAGTGAAGTCCAGTGGGCAAACTTAAATGCATTTTTTGAACAGATTATACATTATGCATCCACTGTGATGCCTTTGAGGGGAAAGAAAGACAATTACCATTTTGAGATTTGTTTTCCCTCCTTCTGGACGCTCGGCATATACCACCAATGAGAAACTCTGGATGAGTTCAAAACCGGTTCCAGTTACTGTAATATTTCTCCCTCCACTGAAAGGCAGAATTAAAAAAGAAGTCAAGTCATTGGCAAACCATGACAGCTATAGACTGCTTTATCCTGCACTGCTACTACTTCCACTGAAAACAGCTACGTAATGCCTATATGACAATTAGACATCCTACACAAGGCACTCCTGTTAAAGCTGTCGATGACCACAGCATTTAAAAGTAGCAATGCCAACTTCAAACTCATTTTAAAATAGCACAATTAAAAAAGTACAAACTGCAGTATTTGTGGCTTTTCATTGACGCCAATCTTTGTGTGCTTTATTTCTCCCATGTTTTTGTTAAAATCACTCCACCTACCACACACACAGAGGCAAAGGTGAGAGCGTATTTTCCACAGGTCTCTAGGGACCTGGCTTCTCTACTCCCTTTCATTTGCAACACATTGTTTAAAAAATAATGCATTCGCATATGAAGAAGAATGCATGCAAGCTGCCAGTGGGAATTAAAGTCATCGAAGTAACACGGATTTAGATGGATAGCAATCCTCAAGGCAATCCATTAAAGTAACCTTCAGTTTATACAGAGGAAAGAAAGAAGTCTTTTAAATCCCCTGGGGTAAATCACTATTGATCTACCAAAAAACGCCTCCAGGCCCCAAAACCACCCAAACCAAACATCAAAAGCAAATATTGAAAATAAATCCTATTTTACATAAGTGACTGCTCAATATTCAAGGAGGCTGGTCCAATTTCTCCAAGAGAAGTCATGGCCAATTTTATTTTTAATGTCCTATTTGTAAGGTCACGATGTTACACTTCTTTTTACTGAAAGGAAGTAATGATTTCTCTCTGCCAGCTGTACCCCATTAAGCAGAAAAAACAGAGTATTAGGGAACAGCAGAGACCAACATGAATCAAGGTCACAAGTTTGTCCCTATATCGGTCATAGAATGACTCAAAACCAGAGGCATGCTACAAGGAGTTTCATACAGATGATCTCCCATTTTTCTACAAATATAAGCAAATGTATGCTTATACATTTCTTTGGTTTCACAATTAGTATGAGTGAACCTTTTTCCAGAAGGAACAGCTACAAGATGGGGTGCTAGTGAGTACCACCATAGAAGAGAGCACACCTTTTAAAAGCCTCACTGAACCCTGATCTAGATTTCCTAAAAAGATACTTTTTTTTCCTCTTGGGACAAAGAGATGACAGGCCATAACCATTCTCTTTTTCCAGCTTACTTATTAAAAGCTGAACAGAAGAACTGTTACAAACCTTTTCTTTAGAAACCTTTTATATAGATTATGCTTATAGGATAAGGACTTGTAAGTAACACAAAGATCATGTTGTCTGACATGATGCTGAAATGCTTCACATCTCTTTCTTTGAGACATCTTCATTTAGAAGCAGCTCATTACCTTTTCTGGTTTCAGGATTTAGCTTTGAAGTGGGGATTAAAGTTTGGAGGAAAACAACGCTTTCAAACATCAGATGTGGTTAATAAAGTTCACAAACTCTACATATCTTAATATGCGCATGGATGGAGTACAGCAGTTTTCATTTCAAACAGTTCTATATGTAATAGGTTTATTATAAACGACACAAATTTTCCCCTAATTGTAAATGAAGTTATGACAAACATTTCATTACCTGCTGAAGCTATTTACTGGCAGGAACTTGGTGACAGTAGGATTCTCACTGTATGAAAACTGCCCTGGTACACTAATTGCCGTGCCCCCATAGTTCATTGTGACTTTAACAGCTTCAACCTTGCTATTAGGTCCTGTAATGCAAACGATCTCGTCTCCAAATTCAGTGCTAGATTGGAGAAGAAAAAGAAGAGGAAACATCTTCAGTTACTAACATTATGGTGATTTGTATTCTTTATTGTAGTACTCCAGAAGCTACAAAAAAAAGGGCCCTATTTTTGCTAGGCATTGAGTAACAACACTTTCTTCAGATCACTTAGGGTCTTAAAAAAAGATATAGGATATGAAAAGGAATAGTGTACAAACACAAGAACAATGTGATGTCAGCACACTGCATCATTCCTTTTTTTTTGGGAGAAGTGCAGCAATTCATAAGTGGAAAAAGAAGTGAGAGGAACAAGCCAGGGGCACTAGAAGATTAAGATTTTATCTGGAATCATTGAGGAGATGCTGAGTGAAAGAATGGATGGATTTAGAGCAGCCAGGCAAGCAGAGAAAGCCAAAACTGGAAAATTCTTTGGATATCTGAGTTCTCCTACTTCAGTGTTTTTACAGCTGCTTCTTTCAGCTGGAGCCTCTGAGACAGTTTCTGCCTGAACGTTACGTGCAGAGCTCCATTGCATGGGATGAGTCACGAAGAGATAGACAATGGATTTGTATAATTTCTAAAGGCCAGAAAAGGTTAGTGCTTTGTTAGGACACAGCTCTGTATTGTTAGTTACTGAGTGTACGTACACATTGCAGGGCTGGCTACCAACTGAAACTTGAACATCTTTCTTAGAACCAGTGGCCAGGTTTGTACCAGTGATGGTAAGTGTGGTTCCACCTGCTTGTGGACCGCTTTCAGGTGTTATTCCAGAAGGATGAGGTTCCTGCAAAGAGGAGATGGTCAAATCAGTTAAGAAAATGAAAATAAAATTTACATCAGTATTAATTGGTATAATAGCTAATAGAAGTTTAATGTTACTACGTGAAAAATACTAAAATTAAAATAACGACAGACAATTCTTTTAAAAGAAAACAAAATATTTCATTATTCATGCTGAAGGAAGAAGTAACAGATGACGTGAATGTACTTATGTTTTTTCCATACTGTATTTTATGAGTTCTTAGATGACTTTAAATTCTCTGTTTACAAAATGTAGAGTTAACTGCCATTAAGTTTGTGAGAATTTCCTGTTGGATTTCCTGTTTTCATACTTATTTTAAGATTTCTGTCTTCCTTATGGCTGAGTCTGCCTTCACCTTTCCTTACCCTTTCCTACATTCTGTGTCAGTTGCAGGAGAGACAGAGCAAGGTGTTTAAAACCAGTACCGAACAGAAATGATATTAAGAATCCCTTTATCTATAAGGCTCTTAATTGCAGTAAAATTGTTATCCTTTTCTTGAGCAATGAGCTTGGCAAAGAAAGAAAATCTGAAAACGCTTGAACCTTGGAGAGGATTTCTTAAAATAAATTGAAACAAGCAAACACGCTTCAAATGGTTATGAAATTTGTTGGAAATGTAAATTTCACAAATAAGTTCCCTCCTTTTGTTCTCAATTCTGTCTTTGTTTCCGTGATTGTATCTCAGGAGCTATGACAAATACTGTAAATTAACAGCGAGGGCTTTTCACGAACAGTGTGATTTAATTACTTCATTGCTCAGTAGTCCCTGCTTCGCGTTGAGAAAAGCATCCTTATTGAGAACAACACCGAGAATCAAGAGGATGACCGAAGCCACGCAAGCTGCACGGGATGGGTTCCTGGCCGGCCCCAGGCGAGCGCTGCCTGCGGACTCCGTGGCCTGGCCATGCCCGCGGACGTGCCGCAGCCCTC